AAAAATATTTTAATATTTTAAAGCACACTCTTGTCCTGGACACTGGTGTCTCCCCTGCAGGTCCGGACTCCTCAGCAGTGGCTCCCGCAGCCCCCAAGACTTCCAGGCTTGCTCAGGCCACCCTGGCGTTTATAATTGTGACCATTATCATCTCTATTATTGCTCTCTTTATTATGGGTAAGCTCCTAGGTAATCTGAACCCCACTGACTCTCTGTCCTGATTGCATAAAGGCCAGACACACACGCTCTAGCCCCAGGCCCAAAGCAGAGCTTTCTTGGGACCCAATCAAGGCCACTGTCAAAGGCGAGCTTTCCAAGAGCAGAGGCCCATGAGGGAAACTCGGAGGAGTCCTTGGTGCCATTTCCCTCATTTTGGAACCCTGACTTTGGGTGTGGGGGGGGGGCAGCCTGTGTTTCCAGGCTCAGTGCTGAGGGATTGTGCTGACCCAGGAATGGGGTGTCTCAGTTCTGCAGAACCCAAGATCTAAACCAGGAGCCTATGCCTCCTCCCAAGAGTATCCAGGAGACAACACTACTGGGCAGTTACCTGTGGAACCTGACAGTGAGTAGCCACAGTGGGGGTGGGTGGGTGGGGGAGGGAACGGGGGCATTCGGGTGCCCAGGACCTAGGACGAGCCTCTCCCTTAACACTCCCAGGCCCCTGAATGGGTTCCACTCTCCTCATAGAAAGGCACGATCTTTATAAAAAACAGCTTTATTAAGGTATAACTGACACATAATAAAGTACACATATTTAAAGCATACAATCTGATGAAGTTTTGACATGTGTATATACCTGTGAAACCATTATCACACTCAACGTAACAAACATACGAGGAGTTCGTCATCCTCCCCTCAACGTTTACTTGTATTCTTTGTCATCCTTACCTCTCCCCTCCTCTCTTCATCCCCAGGCGACCACCATAATTGTTATAATATAGATCACTTGTTGTTTTTTTTCTCTAGAGGTTTATATAAAAGGGATCATATAGCATGTACTTTTTTTTTTTGTCCTTTATTAGTCATGTGATTTGCCCCTCAGTTCATGTGGGATCACGAAGTAAGCATTTATTTCTTTCATTTTTCTGGCCCACATTCTCGGTTGCTCGTCCCCAGCGCCTCTCACAGCACACTCAGGAGGCAGTGAGCAGCAGGCTACTTGAGGGGCGTTCAGGGCTGTGCCATAGACATTCCCTTGGAAATGTCAGGAACCCATATAATGAATGCTTCCCTATGTAATGGGCCTCTTTGGCTGTCTTCTCCATTTCCTCCCTCCAGATCCCTACCACTCTGGTAGGGTGGCAGAGTTGCAAGAGGCTATCCAGATGTTTAAAGACCACATGGAGAATTCCAGCACCTGCTGCTTGGAGATCCAGATGTTGACGTGCAGGGTGGACAATGTCAGTTCTCAGATCCAGATGCTAAGAGGTCATCTGAAAAATTCCTGTGCTGACGCTCAGATGGTAGAAGGCATTCTAAAAGATGTCCACACCTTGAGTTCCCAGACCCAGATGTTAAGGAGCTCCTTGGACGGGGCCAGTGCTGAGATCCAGAAGCAAAAGGGAGATCTGGAAAAAGCAAGTGCCTTAAATTCCCAGACCCAGACTTTCTTAAAAAGCAGTTTAGAAAACACCAGCCTTGAGCTCCGTGTATTAAGTGGAAGCTTAGAAAATGCCAACACTGATATTCAGGCATTGAAGGCAGGGCTGGAAATGGCAAACTCCCAGGCCCAGGTGGCAAACAGTAGTTTAAAGCATGCTCATGCGCAGATCCTTGTTTTGAGAGGCAATCTGGATAGCGTCAATGATTTAAAGGCCCAGAGTCAGGCTTTAAGAAATAGCTTGAAAGGAGCCACTACTGAGATTCAGAAGCTAAAGGGAAGCCTACAAAATGCAAATGCTTTAAACACCCAGACTCAGGCCCTTTTAAAAGGCAGTTTAGACAACAGCAGTGCTGAGATCCAGTTATTAAGAGGTCACCTGGAAAGCGCTGGCAATGAGATTCACTTGTTAAAAAAAGGTTTGGAAACGGCCACTGCCCAGACCCAAATGGCCAATGGCCGCCTGGAACAGACAGATGCTCAGATCCAAGTATTAAAAAGAGAGCTGGAAAATGCCAATGCCTTAAATTCCAATATTGAGGCATTAAATGGTCAATTGAGAAATGCCAGCAGAGAGATACAGACCCTAAAACAAGGAATGAAGCGTGCTGAGGCCTTAAATTCTAAGACCCGGACGTTAGAGAGCAACCTGCAGAAGGCCAGTGCTGAGATCCAGAGGTTTAAAGGAGAGTTAGAGAACTATAAAACACTAACTACCAAAATCCAGGAGGCAGAAAGGAACCTGAAGACCCTCAATGCAACCTTTGCTTCAGAGAAGCAGCTACAGAAGACCAAAAGTAAGTGGAAGGGAGGGGGTTGGCCTGGGGAAGGTGCAATCCCTTGGGAGGGCAGAGTCTTCTATCCCTTTGGCCTTTTGCTTACTTCACCATACGCCCTCCTGGGAAGGAGTCTGGGTACTGGAGAGGGGCCAAATACAACCAAATAGCTCGATGTGCCTAGGCAGTGGTGGAGGTGGCACAGGGGGCATAGATCCTGCTCCCAAGTTGCTTATCATCTGGCCAGAGTGATAAAATGAACCCTTGGGAAACAAAATATGTATGGTGAAGGCGTGTAATAAGGACAGTGGGTGTTAGAGGGGCCAGACAGCCTTATTTCTGACTTCCTGCTATCACAAGTGGTGTAACTTTGATCAAGTCACTTACCTTCTCTGAGCTTCACTTTTCTCATCTGCAAAGTGGGGACGATAATAGTTGCTTCACAGTGAGGATCAAATGAGTTAACACATTTAACAAGCTACCCAGCATTCATGCATTTATCAGACAAAATTTTTTGAGGTTCTATTATGTGTCAGGGGCATAAAGATGAATAAGATGTGATGCCCACCCTTGAAGCTTACAGGCTGGTAGAGCAGCCTTGCATGAAAGACATGCGGAGAGGCATAGAGGTATTATGTTAGGAGCAAATCTAGAAACTGGGGGTGGGCAAGAGCAAAAGAAGGGGAAAGAGGGACCTTCTGAGGGCTGGCATTCTCTGGTGTAGAAAAGGGAGCTTCCTAGGGGGGAAAATCTTCTGGGAGAGAAAAGATCAAAAGAAGCTTTGTTGAGAAGATGGCCCTTGAACTGAGTCCTGGAAAACTAGTAAGTGTTTGCCAAGCAAATAGGGCAAGAGAGGAGCAGGTTCACAGGCATGGAGATGTGAAACCATGAGGTTCAGGAAACTTTAGGCAGTTCCCTCTGACTGGACTGCAGCCAAGAGGGCAGTTGGTGAGGTGCAGGCTGAAAGGGCGGTAGGCAGGGACCAGAATGGTGGCTTTCAAACTGTTTTGAATGTAACCAGAGCACGCAATTCATTTTACAGTGTGACCCAGCATAATTATGTATGTGACACACATATACACATACACGTTTCAAAAAACAAAAACTTTTACTGCATGAATGCCTTCTGATGTTTTATAATTTATTCTTAAAAAACAAAAACACTTTGACATAACCCGCTAATGAGTTGATAATTGCAGTTTGAAAAACATTATGCTAGAAAGGTAGGCAGACCTGGAGAGACACCAGCTAGATGTGGAAGGCCTCTGAGCTTGGGTTGCATTCTTCAGGAAGAGGATCTATGGAAGGGCTTCACAGAGGCTGACAAGATAGGCCTCCTACTGAGATGGGGAACAGATTAGGCATGAGAGCAGTGAGAGTTAGATATGCTGAGTCAGAGATCCTGGAGGAATATTCAAGTGTATGTCACTTGCAGGCTGTCTGAAGTGTAGGAGAGAGGCCCTGGCTGCAGACATAGATGTGGGAGCCCTGGGTATATTGGTTCTGGTTGTGGCAACGGGAGTAGAGGTGGGGGATTTGCATGAGATGAAATGCTGTATGAGAAGGCTGAGGGTGGAAGCAGGAAGTCGACCTTCAGGTGGCCTGAAGGAAAGAGGTGTTTTTGAAGGAGACTGGAGAAGGCAATCTTAGAGGCAGGAGGAGAACCAGGAGACGTGCGGTTGGGGAAGCCAAGGAAGGACAGAATTTCAAGAAGGGAGCGGCTAGTCTAGCAAACATCTTAGAGAGGTCAGATACAATAACCAATAAACATCCACTGACTCTGGGCAATTAGTAAGTCAATGGAATGGAGTCTCAGTGGAGAGTTGTATGTGGCCAGGGATGTGAATGAAAGATCAGGTGCACGAGTCATTCAAGGACCTTGGCTGGGAAGAGAAGGAGAGAGGTGAGGCTAAGGCAAGGGGGATGGCAGGGTAGAGGGAGGGATTAAAAAAGAAATGTATCATCAATATTTAATTTATAAAACCTACATATTAATTATAGACAATGTGGCAAATGTTGAAAAGGAGAAGGATGAAAGAATAACCACTTGCATTTGCACAAAAATGTCTATATTTTCTATATGAACATTTTGGTGATCTCCCTTGAGAGGCTTTTTCTAGATGAGGATAGGCTTGATCTAATGGGAGAGAAAGGAGCCAGTGGCCATCAGGGTTTCCCATTGCTCACAGCGGAAAAATCCCAAACTCCTTCACAATGGATGTACAATTTAGTGCTGGTGAACCCATCCAAGTTCGTCTCCCATTCCTCCCGCATTGACCACACCAAATACTTGAACAGATCAGGCCATGCTGTGCTGTTTCACACCTTCGTGCTTTTTGTCTACTCTTTCTCCTGCCAGGAATCCTCTTCTTGGCCCTGACTACCTGGCAAGCTGTCCCTTAGTCTTTTAAGACTCAGCTCAAGTTACATCTCACCTTGGGTGTCCTTCCTGAGCCCCACTTCCAGCCCAGGTGAAATAGTCCCTAACCTCTTTCCTGCCTCTATTCTGACATGCATATG